AGGAAGCTCCTCCAGTGTCAATTAATTATCCTCGTCGTGCCACCCAGAATAACGTCTACGTAATTGCTTATTAATTCCTGTAAGTGGATTAAATTAATATGCACCGGGTTGGTCGTAAACGTTCCACAAGAAAATATCTTAATGGACAAGATAAGGGAACAGAGATAACGTTATTACCGGCGTAAGTTAAACCACCGGTAAGAAGTTATGTATCAAATTACCCGCGAAATCTTACTTGGTACCACCGCTACCTTGCTTTAATGAACATATTCCCTTCGGTGGAAATGGGATACACTGTTCTCCGGTATCGAAACCATGTCGAAATTCAAAGGACACGTGTGTGTGTGTGTGTGTAGTATGTAACGCTGTTTATTTTCAATTTGACCAAAAAGAAAGAAAGTTTTAACAAATTATCCTGCTTTCTGGTTTACCCGTAACCGTGTCCAATCTCGATCGAGCCACACGATGGATACTACTACTACCACTACTTACCTCGATGGGATACTTGTCAGGCACGTGAGCACAGGAGACACTGGCCGCAGTCAGCATTGTCAAAGCTAGAATCGATCTGAAACAGAGATTGTCGTAAGAGACGCCTTAATTAATCGGACGTAATGGAATGCAATTTGTTATCGCGGTTGTCAATCTGTAAAGCGAGGTTTTCACGAGAGTCCCGACTGTTGAACCGAGCCAATTATCCTCCTGTTATCTCGCCAAATATCTGTACATCTTTTTCTCGGTTAGTCACATCGGGTTAGACATTTCAAGAATGTGATAATCTTCCTCGGATGAGTTACGTTGCATACACTATATATATGTATATACACACATATCTCGTACGACGGAAAATAGTCGCGAGCTAGCATACGCTGGGACTGGATAATTCCACTTCTCTCCACTGAGAGAGGCTCGTTAATGTATTCAAACCATCTCCGTAAATTCTTTATTAAAAGATCGTGACAAGGATTGATGCGATCGATATGGATAGATCATGTTTAGATTGAATTCCAGTACGTGAATAGAACGTGTCTTCCTTCCGAGTCGAACTTTCGATTAATTGAATATACCGCCCGATGATTTATTCCCCGTGATCGTAGATTAATAACGTCTGACCAATAATTTCAAACAGATGCTAGCAGAAATATGTATATATATATTTAGAAATTGCGATCAAGGATTTTAGATTGGGTTTCGTGGTATTCAAGTGTAAACAGAATTAAAGTGCTCCAGATTGCGATGAAAATCCTCGAATGCCTCTCCCTTCGTCTTCAGGGTAGAGCGGTTTTTAGAGCGGTTTCACGCGAAACGAATAGCCGAGCATATGTTCTCGATCATTCCGGGGCTTCTATGGGCGGATAATCGCTGCCATAGATTTCGCAGCTTCTCGATTTTCACGGCGAGAATCGCGTGCACATGAGTCTAGGAACTGCAGGCGCCAGTCCGTTTCGCCGTGGTAATTATTAAAACTGCACCCGAGATGCGTGTGTTCGATCCGGTTCACGGCCGGAGGGGAAATAGACGAGAGAAAGGACGGAGGAAGGATAGAGGAGAGAAGGACGGTGATAAAGGGAGGAGAACAGAGAGACGTTGGATCGAGTAAACTGTGCCACTAAGCGCTAATAACGTTTCACTTGTTGCGTTTTCTTGGAAAGCTTAATTAATCATTACGCCCCTGTGTGGCGAACGAGGAAGCTGCGCGCAGAGAGGAGGATAAAGAGAGAGAAAGAGGAAGAAGGGGACCGCCCGCAGCCACTGAAGTAGTCGCGTAGCCGCGTGCATGAAACGCACACAGCGAGACACGTGTAAACGTGCTTTACTCCGATGAAATCAGAAAAAGCCGCTTCGTGGGCTTTCCACGCGATGTTCTTGCCGGCCGCTGTTAAGGCAGCGTGCATACCGTTTCGATGTAAAGTAGAATGAAATTAATAGTACTCTGACATGTGGCATAGGAGATACAAGTACCATTCTGGACGTAGGTAAGATGCAAGTGCAGTTGGCGTATCAGGTTCGCGGAGGTTCCATCGATCATCAGGTGCAGCATCCGTTCGCCGGGTGACTGAGAAAGATGGGTGACCGCTTGGGTAAAAAAAGCATTTTCCGGAAAATTTTCTTCTTTATTCCTGAGCAAATTTTTCATCCTCTCCCTTGCTTTGTTTATTCTTTGAGGTTTTTGTTTCAACAACAAAACAGTGCTGTACAAAGTAGGTTTAAATTTCTGGAATTAAAAGTTTTAATTGAATCGTTGAAAAGTTGTTGGGCTTGAGGACCACAGTTTTCTAGTAATTAACGAAAAGAGAGGTACAAAAGCAACCAACGAATTAAAAAAACGAACAAAGAAAAAATTTAAAAGCAACGTTGGTCGTTTCCTTGGTGGAAATAAAAAAAAAAACATTGGGGTGTCTCGAAAAATTGAGCAAAAATACAAAGCGTGAGAATTGCAGTTCGAGACAGAGATTTGTTGTAATAATAAAACAGTTCATAGGTTTACAACCGCGGCTCGTGGCTTTATTATCTCCCTATTACGACAATCAATTACCTCGTAAACAAACGTGTATCGTGCTCTCTCTCTCCATTAGACGCGATTATTGTGAATTACAGCGGAGTACTTTGTTATTCAGCGACGACAACTATACTCTCTCTAGTAGACTGTGTGTCTCTCGGTATGCACAGCGCCTAAGAAAGCCACGACGTTTCTTGGCGCACACGCAAACCGATGAAGCATTGCACTTGCTGGAACTTGCTTAGAGCCGCTTCTGAGCAATCGTGTCCAGCCGCAACGGCAAACACGTGTTCCTCGCCATTCTTTGTAACGCTCTAAGAAGATCGCCGTAAAATCGGTTCAGCTCTGATTCAACCTTACTATACACACATACTACTTCCTTCTATAATAAATTCTTGTTCTCCAAGAAATATCCTCTTTAATGCTACTACGCTGCATCTCAGCTATAGAACGAACGTTCTTCGCCTAATCATCGCGCACTCTTCCTTTCGCATCTTCGTAAAATATTTATAGAACCATCGGGCACACACACGCAAGAACTATACCACACAAATCTTATCTACTTCTTCAATGAAGACAGGCGATTGTGCCAATGTATCAGCCAGGGAACAGCTACGCGACAACAAACGGCCAGAGTAATTTCTGTTATCCCAACGACAAGAAGTTCGGCTATAATATCTCTACTCTTGTTTCGTGGAACTCGTTGAGACTCTGACTTCGGCGACTGTCACACGGTGGTTGGTGACTGTCGTCTATCCACGCTTCTCTTGCCACACACGTTGGAAGATTCTAAGCTCTCGTAGCTAACTAACCCAACAAGACACGCTTTGCCTGTGTTGCTTGCTTCTTATTGATCAGTTTTTAGCATTCCTACGCCATTGAAAACAAGACCGACATTGTTTATCGTGGCATGTGATGCTGCACTGACCGCGTCGCTGATAGCCAAGTCGTAACGGGTCGAAGATACGACCCTCTCTCGTTATTGAGATCTCTCTCGGACGACTAATAAAGTCGCGATATATCGTGCATACATGTATTCCAGTAGAAAAAAGAGAAACGTTCGATTGCGTGCGAAACACGGCCTGGCCCGCGTTCCATGACCGGCTCTGATCGAACAGAGGTGGAGAGAAACGAGGAAGAGGAGGAGGAGAGCTTTTGTCCAGGGAGATCTCGCGAAGCGTTCTCGCGGGACCGGAAGCAATAATTAACTCGATACTCCGATGTTTCCCGGGATTTCCCGAGTCCATGCACGGCTGATCGGACTAAATGAATTCTAGCCGGTGCAACGATCCGATAATGATCCCCGCGAGAGAACGATTGCGCCTGATTAGCGTTATTCTTCTCCCGGAGAGATATTTCATCGCGGCGGGTTAGGGTCAGTGAACACCAGCGTCACGAGGACGGGGTGTAAACAGCAGATTCGAACGGGACAAGTACGCGTAATCTGTGATAATGCTAGCTGAAAAGTATATCGATCGACCTGCCTGCCCGACCAACTATCCCGTATTAATTCGAAACGCGTCGGCAGTGTTTTATCTTCAATTCCATTATCAACTTCGTCGAGAGAACGAACGTTCACGAGTGAATACCACGGGAAAAGCAGTCGCAAAATCTCGTCGAGACTGGCAATAACAATCCTCGCCTGGAACTACGTATAATGTAACTTTCCAATCCTCCGCGGAATTCGTCCGATAAATCGCGGCGTTTTCTGCGAGCGAAAAAAAAAAAGAGAGAAGAGAAAAGAGGCGGATAAGAATGAAAGTCGGGCGAGCGTCGTCGCGGGAGGCCGGGCGAAATGATTTTAACCACGGTGGTCCACGGGACGGGGATTTTCGTCGCCAGCAGGGGGAGAGACGGGGCGATACGTGCACGCTGGACACAAAAAGGAATAACCGTGAAATATGATGCACGATACACGTACGGCATTGTCTCGGTAGGGCTACGGGGATCTGCGGCGTTAACCGACGCGGAGGAAGCAAAGAAGTCGCCCTCGGACAATGGGGGCGTGAGTCTCGAATGGCCCCTCTAATGATACCGGAGCACCTCGATCGTATACATAAATGCGTGCGTCCGTGAGAAGCTGCGAACATTCCTGTTTACGCGTGCGTTACTTTTTTCTTCCTGCTTTCTCCTCTCTTCTTTACGCTTTTTCTTCCACAGGACACACAATGGTCCTTCGGGGAATTTGCCTTCGAAGGGAGCTAGAGAATTTCAAAGGGTTATTCTACGTAGAACGATTCTTTTCGCTGTATTTTCCGATCATCTTTATTCTACACTTCTTTTTTTTTTTTTTCATGCTTTCGTTTGTGTATTAACCCTCTGCACTCGAAGACCCTTTTTTCTATAAGGAAGTAGCAAAAATTAATGTAATTTTCTAGAGATCTCTAAACATGTAGTGAACAATTCACGGAGACCTGCTGTCTTGGAAAATATCATCCTTAGAGTTGTAAACATAATGTCGCTTCTTAGTCGCATCTCGAGTGCAAAGAGAGTAGAAGCAACCCTCAAGGTCCTCGATGTTATTCCTCGAAGTTTCCTCAGACAAACCGCATCCTCCGCGGAAATGTTATTCCAGCGTTGTTCGTTTCTCCACGTGAGAGATGATCGTGTCCCCTACTACCGATGGATCCGCTAGCGAAACGTTAGAATAATATTTCACGCGGCTATAACGTACAAGCTTGAAGCCTTGTCTTATCATAATACAGGGAGAGACGTGTGAAAAATGCTGGAACAGTTAGTTAGGTAGCCTAGAGATTCTACACCTGATAAAGCAACGTGATTATTCGAGAGATTAGAAGACTCCCGATGCGCGTATAATTATTGTTCCGTCACGAGCGGCAAGCGAGAGGCTTCGATGTAAACCAAATGCCGAAGAGAAAACTCTGTAGTATGTACAGCTCGAAGAAACACGCGGATACACGGGAAACGTGGAGATTGGCGTTGTCAGTCGAGAGCAGAGAAATGTTTCGCTAGGTTCTGTTCTTCCACGAGAGAAGGCCATCACCTTTGATTTCCGGTGAGCAAGGCTGTGGATGTCGTGCCTGTGGTT